TTATGGGAACTAATAAATAACTTTTCTTTATTTGCCCTCTCCACACCACTCATGATTTTATAGACCTCTATCATATCCCCCCTCAGTCTCCTCTTTTCTAAACTGAAAAGTCCCAGTCGCTTTAACCTCTCCTCATATGGGACCCGTTCCAAACCCCTAATCATTTTAGTTGCCCACTCCTCCCGTCCTCCGGTGGTGGGCAGTTCCGAACAACGCTCTGGAGGGGGGCTCTGTTCGAGGCCCTCACCCCCCCCTCCGAGCAAAGGTCAGAGTCCTCACACTCGGTTGGAGCGCTCATCTTGGTGATCTCTGGACTCAGGGACACATAGCCCAGAGGAAGCGAGGCTCCACATAAACACCAGAGTGGAGAGCAGTTTGTCTGGCCTGTGCAGTCTTCCTGCTTCATGTGTCGGGCAAGGTAGTGAGAATCCTCACAGACAATACGGCCTCCCATGTTCTACATCAGTGGTCAGGGAGGGGGGTGCTTTTTGGCTCTGTGACAGGAAGCGCTCCATCTCTGGGACATCTGAATCGATCACAACATCCATCTGGAGGCCTCCATCTCCCAGGAATTGACAGTGCTCTGGTGGATTGCCTGAACCAGGGACTTTTCATTTCACCATGAGTGGTAGCTCCACCCAGACATAGCCGGTGTGATCCCCCAAAGGTGAGGTCTTTCCCTTGTGGACTTATTTGCCAACGAGCAAAACAAAAAATGCCAGCAGTGTGGCTCCTGGGGAGCTGGAAAAGGGCCCTCTTTCAGGTGCATTTCTTCTTCCCTGCTCTGCTGAACGTGTTTCCACCGATCCCTTTGTAGATCAGGTCTTGTACCGGATCATACGGGACAAGGCTCGCGTGTTCCTAGTCACTCCGGCATGGCCCTACCAACACTGGGTCAGCACACTCATGAGCATGGTGCTGTACCCGCCTTGGCCCCTCCCAAATAGCCTGGACGTATCGCAACTATCAGAGGATCAAGGCTGATTTCAGCATCTCAATCTCGACCTTGCACTTTTTGGCATGTATGCTCTGTGGCTGACTGAGGAAGAGCACACCTGCTTGGAGGAGTGGCAACAGGAAGCAGTCTACACAGCTGATGTATTCAGCAAAGTGGATGAGGTTTTCCCTTTGGGCTTTGGAGATGGTATCTTGCCAGGCTGTGCCCTGGTCCAGGTTGTCCTTGGTTACTTGTGCACCTGGCTTTGGAAGGGCCTGATGGTGTCTTATCAACAGCTTCTCACCTAGATCATCCGATGTATCCAGACCTGTTATGAGCTCACAAGGGTTTCCCGCCACCCATCTCCAAACTCACTTGACTAGGGCTCATGTCGGTCTTATTGGCACATGTAGCAGTCCAGGGGAGCTGCAGGGTGGCAGCATGGTCTTCAGTCCATGTGTTTATTTCTCACTGTGCCATTACCCCGGAGGCCAGAGATGATGCTGGGTTTGGCAGAGCAGTGCTACAGTCAACATGGCCATGAATTCCTCCCCTCCGCCAAGGGGTTTTGCTTGGAGTCACCTACTGTAGAATGGACATGAGCAAGCACTTGAAGAAAAGACAGACAGGGCCATAAATGATGTCAAATTAACAGTAAAAATCATATGTATAGTGGCCCAATGTCTGTGACTCTAACGCTGGCTGTTCCCTCTGGGTGGTGCTCGGCTGACTTCTGCGCCGCTCAGCCGGGCTTCTGCGCAGGAGCAAGTGGCCGTTTGGCCTCCGTGCTCCCTGTGCTGCATGGGGAGCGCGGGGCCCAAACAGCCGCTTGCTCCTGCGTGGCGGCCTGGCTGAGCGGTGCAGAAGTCAGTCGAGTGCCATGGTGGGAAGCAAAGGAGGGGATGGGGTGGTGACGTACATGCCCGGGGGGTGGGGCTTGGAAGCACGCGCGAGAGAGAAGCAGTGGGGGGTGGGGAGGGGAGGGAGACAGAGCAATAGACTAGAGGCTCAGGAGAGACCTGAAAATCCCATCGTATGATGGCCTAATTGGCTAGTATAATAAAAAAGCCAAAAAGGACTTTGAAGAGCAGCTAGCCAAAAACTTAGAGTTTATTCTTTAAGAATCAATGGACACAAATCAGATATTTGGAATGGCAACATACAAAAACCTGTAGGAGAACACTTCAATCTCCCTGGACACACAGTTGCAGATCTAAAGATAGCCATCCTGCAGCAAAAAAACTTCAAGACCAGACTTCAAAGAGAAACTGCTGAGCTCCAGTTCATCTGCAAGTTTGACATAATCAGCTCTGGATTAAAGAGAGACTGTGAATGGCTGGCTAACTACAAAAGCAGCTTCTCCTCTCTTGCTGTTCACACCTCCAGATCAGCTGCTAGAAGTGGGCCTCATTCTCCCTGATTGGATCCACCTCGTCATCTCCAGCCTGATTCTGGCCTTCATATTTATACCTGCCTCTGGAAATTTCCACTACATGCATCTGACGAAGTGGGTCTTCGCCCACGAAAGCTTATGCTCCAACACTTCGGTTAGTCTATAAGGTGCCACAGGACTCCTTGCTGCTCCTGTGGATATAGTGTACTTAGATTTCCAGAAAGCCTTTGACAAGGTCCCTCACCAAAGGCTCTTAAGTAAAGTAAGTTGTCATAGAATAAGAGGAAAGGTCCTTTTGTGGGTTGAGAACTGGTTAAAAGACAGGAAACCAAGGGTAGGAATGAAAGGTCGGTTTTCCGAATGGAGAGGGGTAACTAGTGGGGTCCCCTAAGAGTTTGTCCTGGGACCCATCCTGTTCAACTTATTTATAAATGGTCAAGAGAAAGGGGTAAACAGGGAAGTAGCAAAATTTGCAGATGATACCAAACTGCTCAAGATAGTCAAGACCAAAGCAGACTGTGAAGAGCTTCAAAAAGATCTCACCAAACTGAGTGATTGGGCAACAAAATGGAAAATGAAATGTAATGTTGATAAATGTAAAGTAATGTGCAATGGAAAAAAAATCCCAACTATATATACAATATGATGGGGACTAATTTGTCTACTGTTGTAATCCCTCCCTCTGGGGCATCTGGTATTGGCCACTGTCGGCAGACAGGATACTGAGCTAGATGGACCTTTGGTCTGACCCAGTCTGGCCGTTCTTATGTTCTTACTGTTACCTGTTGGTAGCTGGTGTTCTTTGAGATGTGTTGCTCATGTCCATTCCCCATCCTGCTCTTCTTCCCAGCCATCAGCATTTCCAGCAAGAAGGGACTGAGCATGGGAGAGTGTGTAATGCCCCTTGTACCTCAGGAAGAAGCTGCCATTCAAATGGTACCTGAATGGAGATGCCTATCTCCTAGAGCTGGAAGGGACCTTGAAAGGTCATTGAGTCCAGTCCCCTGCCTTCACAGCAGGACCAAGTACCATCCCTGACAGACTTTCTCCAGATCCCTAGATGGCCCCCTCAAGGATTGAACTCCCAACCCTGGGTTTAGCAGGCCAATGCTCAAACCACTGAGCTATCCCTCCCCCCTGGAGGTGCTCCCCTATGGGTACTGCTGGGGGGAAAACTTCCAGCACCTGTGCATATGGTGAGCATGCACACCTAATGTGGAATCACATGAGCAACACCAGTTACGAACAGGTAACTCTTTGTCAAGCATCATGCATTGGCGTTAGTGTGACGGCGCGTTGGGGGTCCCCCGTCTCCTGCACCCCGAAATGGCACAAACAGACTGCACCAGCCGGTGGACTAGAGGAAGTTGATTGCCTCTCCAGGATACAGCACAGCACAGATGGAGTCTGGTCACAGAGCTGGGCTAGGATGCCTCAGGCCCCCTTGAGATGGAGGAGACTGGGCCCCTAAACTCCAGCCCCTTTCCCTAGGCTGTCCCCTCCATGCTCCCGGACAGCAACTAACTCACCCCCTTCCAGCCCTGCCCCCCAGCCAGGGCAGCATTCCACCTTCCTTTGTTTCTCCCCATGGGGGGTAGGCTGGTTCAACCGGTATGGTACCTTTGCATAATAAGGTTTTCCCTGCTGGGTCTTGCTCCAGATAGCAGAGGTCACCAAGCCCAGCAAGTACCCCCACTACGTCACAGTTAGCCACCAGAGCAAAGGCCAAATTCAGGAGAGCAGATAGTCCTCATTCGTTTGCAGCTGATATTTCTCTTCCCGCGGTTTAAAAGAGGCACTGCTTGTCAGCCCCGTGCGGGGGAATTGCACGGACATGCTTCAAGGCAGAACAACCGTCCTGCAGTGAGTGTAGCTCTCAGAGAGGTTCTAGCTGGCGTGGAAGCCCGACTGACGCTCCAGCCCTGCTCTTGGAGTCCTCGGCTAACCCAGGCTTCAAAGTGTGAGGCTCCTTAAGGAAGCTTCTGGATGCTCTGTATCCTCCCAAGGGGACAAAAGGAGTCATAGGGCCCATATGAGGGCAGCCAGGATCTGCACTGCTATTCAGAATATTCCCATCTCCTACGCATCAGGTGCACGTGCATTCAAAGAGGGACTCATGCTGACTCCAGCATCTCAAAGGAGCGTGCATAGTTACTGTAGGAGAACTACTCTACCCCATTTGTTACTTTCGACTGGTCATCTCCTGGCTTCCTGTACATGTGCAGCCAGACTCTTAAGTGGGTATAGGAGACAGAGCAGCTGGCTGCATAGGCATCTCCTTGCTGAGACAGTGAAAACAGAGCTAGTGAAACCATCTGAAGAGACCAAAAGGAGAGGAGCTGCCGAGGGCAGGAGGAGGTAAAAGGGAAGGGAAGTCTCTGACCTGAGGGGTGCTAGTGGCCTACATTTGGGGAGCAGAGAATGGGATGGAGATGTAGGGCCTGGAGTCAAGCAAACGAACCTGTTAGCCATCTCATTGGTGTAGTTACTGTGTTGCCTGCTGCTGTAATGGAGGCATAGACACCCGGCATGTCTAGGATGAGTCCCCGGGATTGCAGGCCTGTCTCCCTTGGCGTTCACTAGATGGTCTCCTGGTGCATGGGGGATTCAGTGATGTTGATTGAGGGCGCTAATCTCCACCCCTTTCTCTCCCCTCTCCGTGGTCTGCAGTTCGCTCTCGTTCCTTGTCAAGTTAGAGCAGTTGGATCTTGGTGGCAATGACTTGGAAGTGCTGGTAGGTGAAGGGGATGGAGAGGAGGAGGAGGAGGGTGGTTTTGGGTCTGGGAGTGGATGGGATCTGAAATCACCAGGAGCAGCAAGTAATTTTGGTGTCTGTGGTGGCCCAGTAGCCGTTCCCAGCAGCTGCTCCCAGTGCTCTGTGTCCTCGCTGTGTGCTGTTTCCTTCCTCCCATTGCACATCTTGCTCCCTTCATGTCCCAGCTCCTTTTCTCTGGGGGACTCGCCCGTGCTCGCTAGCTGCCTGATGATTTATGCGTCTCTAGTTCTGTTACTTGCCTTTGCTGCTGCTGATCTTTGCCTCCCCGACATGACCACCCCTTCAGCTCTGCTGTGCTGGCTTGCTGTCCTCCTGCTTTCTGCCATGGCTTTGCCATTGGAGAGAAACTCCAGCCGCTTCCCACTTGTTCCCTAAGAGGTAGACACCCAGTCTTAATGTTAAGGCCCTGGGGGCTGCAGACACTAACCATTTCATCCAACTTTTTGAGGTTGGAGGCCACTGACCCGCAGAAAAATCAGTTGGGGGCTGCCCAAGTTAGAAGCCCAAAAAAAGCAACCCTCCACCTCACGGATCTGGCCCCCAGGCGAGAAGAAATTTCTTAGACAGACCCCAACTGAGATTCAGAAAAGACATTCCCTTCCCTCCCCTCCCTGCTCCACAGGGCAGGGGAGCACCGAGGCTCAGGGCTCCCCTTCGGTGCTGGATTAATTTTTTAGGGGGCTTGGGGCTAGTAAATGTCGTGAGCCCCTTCTGGCCCTGGGCGGGGGTCAGAGACAAGGGGTTCAGTATGTGGGAGGAAGCTGCCTGGAAAGCAGGGTGGGTGTGTGGGGTCTGACCAGGAGAGGGTAGAGGATCAGGGTGCCTACCTGTCATAGCTCCAGGGGGGCACAGGTGGCCCACACCACTGAACTTGCAAGTCCTGCCCCCCTCCATTCTGGCTGTGATTACTGGCCAGTGCAAGACTAGCTTCCTTGCACTGCCTGTGGAGCTGCTTCCTCTCCCACGGCAGGCAGATGCAGCTGTGGCTTGCCTGGATACGGCCCACAGAGCTTGGGGCTCCCCTCCCTGCAGCGGGGAGCTGGAGCCTGCACCCCTAGCCTGTGCTCTCGGGTCCCATCCCTGACCTGGACCCTTCTACCCTGTGAATGCTGGAGATGAGCACACGGTGGCTGGGTGAAACTGGGTTCAGCTGTGCTTGTGTGAGGAGGGCTGCACTGTTGCTTCCTAGCTGCAGACAGCTGCCACGGGACGCTGCTCCAGATCTGGCTTCCAGGAACATACCCTCTGCTCAGAGAAGAGACCCTCCAATGCAGGTGCCTCATGTGGCCGTGCAGCCCTTTGGGCCAGCACCTGCAGGCAGGCTGCACGAATCGTCCTGAGGAATGAGCAGCGTCTGAGTGGCGTGACAGCCCTCAGTCTGTTGGTGCTGCTCGTTCGTTCGTTCGTTCGTTCTCCTGCGGAGCCGATAGGGGTGTCCTGCCCGCCTGGCTAGCGAAGGGTAATGTTGGTGCAGCGGGGTGGCGAGTCCATATCAAGTCGCCTCTGGCCATTCCCACAAAGAGGAAAGACGAGGGAGATTTATTTCTATCTTCTCACCCCTTTGTGGACCCAACCAGTCTGTTGGCCCCTGCGCTGGGAGAACGTTTGCAGCCAGAACCGCCATCTAGAAACCCACAGTGTGTCAGCTGAGACCCTCCCCATAACAGGTCTTCCCGGTTACAGTACTCGGGATCACTGGCTTCCCCAGCTGTCTGTAGTGAATGGCCTTGAGAAGGCTCTAGAGCATCTGCCATTCCTGATTGAACATTTGGGCACAGCCTTTATCAGCGAGCAGGCTGTGCTGTGGGGAAGTGTTAATCTCTGCTTGCTTGGTCTGTGCAGCCGGACACTCTGGGAGCATTGCCGAACCTGCGGGAGCTCTGGCTAGACCGAAACCAGCTGTCGGCCCTGCCCCCGGTGAGTACCTGGCCCGCGGATGTTGCCTCACTGCCGTGCTTCCCTCCTCCGCCAGTCCCATGAGCCAGACCATGTCTCCTTCCCCTCCCAGGAGCTAGGGAACCTGCGGCGTTTGGTCTGTCTAGACGTGTCTGAGAACAAGCTGGAGCACCTGCCCAATGAGCTCAGTGGGCTGGTGGCATTGACAGACCTCCTGCTGTCTCAGAACCTGCTGGAAAGCATTCCTGATGGGATTGGTAAGTGTTCGCTGGGGCGCTCTGTTACCCTGCTGGGCAGGGAGTATGGGACCGGAGGGGCCATGTCACCCGTGGAGGGTAGCAGTGAGCCAAGCCCTGGTGGGAGGGCAAGGGATGGATGGTTTGGCTGAGTTGCGTGGGGGGGCCTCTATCGCTCCCTGCTGCAGCTCACATCTCTCTTCCCATGCTCAGGGCAGCTGAAGCAGCTCTCCATCCTAAAGGTGGATCAGAATCGGCTGGTGGAGGTGACAGAGTCGATAGGGGACTGTGAGAATCTCTCGGAGCTCATCCTGACTGAGAACGTACTTACCGTATGTGTTCCGGCGCTCACTGCTCCCTGCTGTGCTGCGTAGCTCGGCCCCTTGCTGGCGGCTCAGCTCCATGCCAGACTGTCCTCTCCCAGGGCTCTGCCCACAGACCACAGTTCTGGGCACTGCAGCCAGCACCACAAAGTGCTCGGGGCCCATGACTCAACCACATGCTGCAGCCACTGATGCGAAACCCCGTCTGTCCTCGGGAGAGCCTTGGGTGAAGCTGTGTTCTCATGAGTTGGCAAAATGCTCCCCTGGGCTTTCCAAAGTGGATTGGCCAAGTCCTAACTCAGTGTCTTGTCTTGGCCAGCACCAGTGAGTGCGGTGGTAGTGTCTGGAGGTCCCAGTTGGGGACCAGTGCCCCACTGTGCTAGGCGCTGCACAGGCACATGGTGGAAAAAGCTCCCTGAGCCAGAGAGCTCAGAATGTTAGCACAGATGGCTAAAAATACACGTGAGGGGAAGGACAAGAATAACTTGCCCAGGTGAAGCTTTTACCTACTTCCTATTGGTCACAATCTGCCATAGGCCATCAGCTAGAAGTTTATATGCACCCTGATTTTTCCTATCCAGTGTAACAGTAGAACATCAGAACGGCCAGACGGGGTCAGCCCAAAGGTCCATCCAGCCCAGCGTCCTGTCTGCCCACAGTGGCCAATGCCAGGTGCCCCGGAGGAAGAGAACAGAAACAGGAAATCAAGTGATCTCCTGACAGAGGCTGGGGACACCGTCCTTACCCTTCCAGGCTAATTGCCATTGATGAACCTGTCCTTCATGAGTTTATCTAGGTCCGTTTTGAACTCTGGTTCACTCTTGGCCTCCAACTTCCCCCGCCAAGGAGTTCCACAGAATGTACAGTGAATGTACTTCTCTTTGCTGTTTTTAAACCTGGTGCCTCTTCATTTGGTTTGGTGACCTGTAGTTATGAGGAGTAAATAACATTTCCTTATCTACTTTTCCCACACCAGTTAAGATTTATAGACCTCTATCATTTCTCCCTCATAGTCGTTTCTTCTCCAAGTTGAAAAGTCCTATAGTATTAATCTCTGCGCATCTCAAAGCTGTTCTGTGTCCCTAATAGTTTTTCCAACTGCCTAATCTCTTGTTGCCGGGAGTGACCACACCTGCATGCAGTGTTTATACCACAGACAGGGTATTTTCGGTCCTAGCTGTCCCTTTCTCACTGATTCCCAGCATTCTGATTGCTTTCTCTTTTAGACCAGAGTAGATGGGGCAGAGTAGCTGGGAGCTCCTGCCCTTCTCCCCACAGCACCCCCTGCTGGGCTTGATGGGGAGCTCCTTCAGCAGCCAGTGTGCTTCTTGCTCCCTGCTCCTGCAGTTCACATTGTGGCCTGGCTTTGCCTCTGCAGAGGAGCTGGGGTAGGGGGAAGTCGCCACTTACCTGGGAGGTGCGCAGCAGGTAGGGAGCTTGCCAGCGCTGACACCTTCGAGTGGGCTGTACCTCTCCGAGAACCAGCAGGGGGGCCGGATTCACCTTCCCAACACCAGTGATGCCTCCTTCCCTTCCCCCACCATCCCCAGAATTTAGTCAGGGGTCTATAGCTGTGAATTTGTGCTTACTGCCCTTGCTGTGTCCGTGACTTTAGCTAGAAATACCTGTGACTAAAACGTAGCCTTCGTTATTCGTGGCGTGCTGTAGTGCTGTGCGCTGCCCTACCATGAGGTGACAGCGCTAAATGACTGGCTAGCTTCCTGCTTGGATAGCCAGGGTGTGCAGGCTTGTGAAGTGCCCTGCCCTCTCTTTGCCTGAAGCTGGGCCGGGAGGGATCACTTGATGATTCCCTGGTCTGCTCGTCCCCTTGAAGCACTTGCCACTGGCTGCTGTGGGCAGACAGGACACTGGGGCAGCCAGATCTTTGATCTGACTCAGTGTGGCTGTTCTGCTGTTCTTTCCCATTTATTTTGCTATGAGATTGCGAGTCCCACCATGGCGTCAAAGCTCCTATACTGTCTCCTCTCCCCTCAGGCCTTGCCAAAGTCCCTGGGGAAGCTGACCAAGCTGACCAATTTGAATGTGGACCGGAACCGGCTGACGGCACTTCCCTCGGAGATTGGGGGGTGTGCCAGTCTGAATGTGCTGTCCCTGCGGGACAACCGCCTGGCACTTCTGCCTCCCGAACTCGCCAACACTACGGAGCTCCATGTGCTGGATGTGGCAGGGAACAGGTGAGTGCCTGCAGGGCCTGGACAGGGCTGGCTCAGCATGCAGGCGTGCCCCTCGGAGAGGTCACGTGGGGGAGAGGAGAACAGAGGGCTGGTGGGCTCCGTTACACTCTGGAGGCACATGATGTCGCCACATGCAAACCCACAGAAGAAGCTTGCTTGGCGGCTGTTCCTGCTCCCTGACTGACCCAGCAGCCACTTGGCTCCATCTCTCAACCCTCCTCTCCAACTCCAGCTTCTACTGTTCCTCAGTCCTTGTACCCGCGAGTGCCGCGCCCCGGTAAAGGACAGCGCGAGGCCTCGGTGCCAGGGAGCATGGCTGGCCATCCTTACAGATGCAAGTCTCTGTTGGCAGGGCCGCCCCTTTCTCTTCAGACTGCACCGTATCCCAAGCTGTTGCCTAGCAGGCAGGTTCTCAACCAGATGTCCCTTCGTGAGCCGTAGTCTGCTGGCTTGTGGGCAGAGGCGCCTTTCCGCTCCCAAGGATGTCAGTAGCCACAGAGTTGCACCTAGAGCTCATGCTGAGCCCCCACAGTGACCTCTGACCCCTCCTGAGTCACTGCTTTCCAAAAAGGTCTCCCAACCCTGCATTCTTAATGTGTTTTGTTAGACCAGGACCATTTCACTGAGTGACTCAGATCACTCTCCCGGTAATCTTTCCCCCGGTTTACTGTGACCTCCGCTCACCATCTGCAACGTCTTCATCCTCTCTCTCTTATTGATAGCGTTAGGGCCATGTTAGAAATGGCTTCACTGATTGAGATCACCTTATTTAATTCAAAATGTTGTGTGGTAGTAAATCAAATGTCTTGGCAAAATCCAAGTATAGCATATCAGTGTAGCTTTCTCCATCAGCCAGAGCTGTAATCCTGTGCCTGCCAGCCTGTCCCCCAAGAGTTTGACACAGACCAACTTTTCATGAAGCCATGCTGATTGTCATTAATTCTATTTTTAGCTGTTAAGTCTTTGTTCAGGGAGCCCCAAATAAACTGTTCCATTATTTTACATCAGTCAGTGCCAAGCTAACTGCTCTCTAGTTCCTGGGTCATCCCTTTTATCCATTATCAATATTGAAACTCCGTTCCATTCCTCTGGAGTTTTCCACAGTTTAACTTTTAACACTTGTGATTGAGAGCTCCTCAGCTGGTTTCTTTACGGCACTTAGGTGTAAATTGATTTGAAAATGTTTAGTTTTAGCAGATGCTGTTTTACCTCCTTGTTTCATGGAATCCTCTATGAAACAAGGACAGCAGCTCCAGTCCCCCCGCCCTCATGGCGGACCAAGTGCCATCAAGTTGTAGTGGGGGGAAGTCTGTGTTGGATGTTAGGAAAAACTATTTCACTAAGAGTGTGGTGAAGCACTGGGACGGGTTCTCTAGGAAGGGGATGGAATCTCCATCCCTAGAGGTTAAGTCCTGGCTTGACAAAGCCCTGGCTGGGATGATTTAGTTGGGGTTGGTCCTGCTGTGGGCAGGGGACTGGACTCGATTTCATGAGGTCTTTTCCAACCCTAGGATTCTCTGAGTCTGATCTAGCTCATCTCTGACAGGGGTGTTTGTCTTATGTGCTCTTAATACTCCAATGCTGGAGATGCCACAATCTCCCTAGGCAACCTATTTCAGCATTTAACCACCCAGACAAAGCTTTTCTTGATGTTCAAACCTCTCATGCTGCAATTTAAAGTCTACTGCTTCTTTTCCTACCATCAGACCTGAAGAAGAATAATTTTCTCCCCTCTTTCTTGTAACGGACTTTTAAGTTGTGGAAGCTAAGGGATTTGTATGTAGCCATTTTGAACTTTTGGTTAGCCTAACTCATGCTAACCGTGAGACCTAACAATGCAAGAGCTGTGAGAGACGCTGTTTTCACTTCTCGTCTCTCTTGTGCTTGAGATAAGGATAGAATTCTGACTCTAGTGAAGACCTTGAGATAAGGTGGCGTCTGAAGGGAATTATGGGAAGGGGAATAATTGTTTATTGTTATCGTATCATAATGATCATATCGTATCATATTGTGCTGCTTACCGGGAGCTCGCATTCAGGATTTGACTGAGAGGCTTACCAAACTGATCAAACCTTCGGATCGCTACCGCTTCCTGCTTCTCCATGTGGGAACTAATGATACGGCCAAGAATGATCTTGAGCGTGTTACTGCGGATTATGTAGCGCTGTGAAGAAAGATCCAAGAATTCGGAGCGCAAGTGGTGTTCTCATCCATCCTCCCTGTTGAAGGGAAAGGACTGGGCAGGGATCGTCTAATTGAGGACGTAAATGCGTGGTTGTGCAGGTGGTGTCGCAGAGAGGGCTTTGGTTTCTTCGACCATGGGACTCTGTTCCGGGCGCAAGGATTGTTAGGAAGAGATGGGATCCACCTAACGAAGAGAGGAAGGAGCATCTTCGCGGGCAGGCTTGCGAACCTAGTGAGGAGGGCTTTAAACTAGGTTCGTCGGGGGACGGTGACCAAAACCCTGAGGGGAGTGGGAAAGTCAGATACCGGGAAGAAATGCA